AAAGTAAATTAATCAGAAGGATGTATTTTAAATTTAGGCCTGGCACAGTGGCTCAGGCCTGTAATCCCAGCACTTTGGGAGACCAAGGCGGGCAGACCACCTCAGGTCAGGAGTTTCAGACCAGCTTAGCCAACATGGTGAAACCCCATCTCTACCAAAAATGCAAAAATTAATCAGGCATGGTGGCACATGCCTGTCATCCCACGTACTTGGGAGGCTGAAGCAGGATAATTGCTTGAACCCAGGAGGTGGAGGTTGCTGTGAGCCCAGATTGCACCACTGCGTTCCTGCCTGGGTGACAGAGTGAGACTCAAAAAAAAAAAAAAAAAAAAAAAGGAAGAAAAAAAGAAAGAAAGATGAATTTTAAATTCAGAATCATGATTTACTAACTTCTTTGTTCTATGTGCAGAAATGGGCCAAAAGTATGCATTTAATAAAGAGCAGAGTGCCAGTATTTGTTGTGAAGCCTGAGAGAATTAACATGGTACTCTTGTTTCCTTACAGCATGACCCAAGTGGCTCCAGGGCTAGATCACCATTAGCCTAATTCCTAATCTTTCCACAGCTTTCCAGTTGCAGAGCTGTTAATCAAAAGTGAATGCAGAGTACATTCCATATTCTATTACTTTACATTAAGAAATGGGAGTCAAAACATGTTAAATTATAAGGCTTTTGGAGGAGGAAGATTAGTAACATGTTTAAAAACATGCTTTTTCTTAGCTAAGGGCAAAATAGGTTTTGCAGTCATAGATCCGTCTATTCTGCAGTTAAAACCAACAATCGGCCGGGCGCGGTGGCTCACGTCTGTAATCCCAGCACTTTGGGAGGCTGAGGCAGGCGGATCACAAGGTCAGGAGATCGAGACCATCCTGGCTAACACAGTGAAACCCTGTATCTACTAAAAATACAAAAAATTAGCCGGGCATGGTGGTGGGCGCCTGTGCTCCCAGCTACTCGGGAGGCTGAGGCAGGAGAATGGCGTGAACCCGGGAGGCAGAACTTGCAGTGAGCCGAGATCGTGCCACTACACTCCAGCCTGGGTGAGAGCAAGACTCCGTCTTAAAAAAAAAAAAAAAAAAACCCAACAACAATAAAATATCAATTTCCTTTTGATTTATCTAATTTCAGAGGTAAATTGTAGCTTCCCACAGTTTATGAATGGAATCTCGAAGGAGTTAGAAATGAAAAAAGTGTATCACTATGGAGATTATGTGACTTTGGAGTGTGAAGATGGGTATGCGCTGGAAGGCAGTCCCTGGAGCCAGTGCCAGGCGGATGACAGATGGGACCCTCCTCTGGCCATATGTACCTCTCGTAAGTGCAAGTACAAGGAATGTGGGACCTTCCCATTCATGGTTATTGCTCATTCATTCATCCATATTGACATCAAGTGTGGTGTGATATTTATGGCATATGCTACCAGCTATGGAGTACAATATGAGCGTCCACCTCTTCCAAAAATCCCAAAATGAGAGTAAGGCCAGACTTTCTCTTCTCACACCTCTCACTCCAGCTCTGCACCTTTTTTGTCTATGTCACGTGGTTGCATGAGCCACACAGTAATGATTTATTTACAGCCTACAAGCCTTAAAAGAAATGTTTTCAGCATGAGTTAGGGAGCACCTTCCAAGCTGCAGAGAGCAGCCGGCCTGTCTCCCTCACCACCGTAGGCTACAGGTTTTAAGCTAGCACAGCTGGATAGAGCAGATTTAGAAATCATGTATCATTGAGCTCTGTAGAAGAGTGGCCCTCTGCTGGCAACTGAGAGGTACTGCAAGATAGAAGATTCTACCCACATCGTGGAGCAGATGAGCAAAATTAATAATGAACAGCCTTTCTTAATCCAAGTTAGTGTTACACTTTCCCCTCTCCCCATCTCTTATGACTCTTCTAATACATGGTTCTACACCAAGATTGTTCAAGATCCAGTTTTACAATTAATCCTGTAAATATGCTAATATGACTCACGGATAATATTTCTAAATTATCAGCTTGACACCCCCTTAATATCAAATTATATTCGCTTTTTTGGCAAAAATCTCACTGGATAACTTACTAAATGGCTTTAGAGTATTCTGAAGATCTGGCTGGGACTGACAGAAAACTCAGATAGTTAGGGAACCAACTGTATCAAATATTAGAACAAAATATAAAGCAACAATACAAAAGTCACTTTGCACCAGCACAAGAAGAGACATACAAATAAGTGGAATGAAACTGATATTAATAAAATAAAGGGGCCGGGTATGGTGGCTCATGTCTGCAATCCCAGCACTTTGGGAAGCCAAGGCGGATGGATCACCTGAGGTCAGGAGTTCAAGACCAGCCTGGCCAACATGGTGAAACCCCGTCTCTACTAAAAAATAAAAAAATTAGCCGGTCATGGTGGCAGATGCCTGTAATCCCAGCCACTCAGGAGGCTGAGTCAGGAGAATTGCTTGAACACAGTAGGTGGAGGTTACAGTGAGCTGAGATTGCTCCACTGCACTCTGGTCTAGGTGATAAGAGCAAAACATTCTTTAAAAATTGTCCATTAAATTAACAATAAAAAGGTTGTTAGGTGAACACCCAATTAAAAGCAAGGATGTGATTAAACTGATATTGTTGTGCATTGAAGGTACTATTGTAAATTTGCAAAAACTCTTACGAAAAACAATTATGCAATGTATGTGAAAAATAATACAACTATTCCTGTCAGTTAGCCCTCCTAGAAATCTAATCTAAGGAAAAATATAAAATATTAAAATATTTTATTAAGCATTTTATTAAGGGTCTCATGAGACAGAAACCTAGAAACAACTTAAATGCAGAATAGAAGCCATTGAATATACTATGATGCATCTACTAGATTATATTAGTTAGCCTTTGTTGTAACTTGTATTTATAGTGTATAATTAGGTGAAAACACACACACGAGAAAATGTGCCAGAACAGAATGTATCAAAACATTTTTTGGGTACTAGGATTGAAGTGATTTTTTCTTTAGCTCTGTATTATAAATTTTCTTCTGTAATTGTATTAATATTAATTTTTAAAAGTCTTCTCTGAGTGCAGAAGGTAAAATGAGAGTATGTGAATGAAACCAATGGCTTTTTGCATTAGAAAAAATATTAGACTGAGTCCTGGAGAAAAATTAGAATGACTTGTCACTGGCTGAGAGGTCCTGCTCAATCACATTGCATGCTAGAGTGACTTTTTGTGACTTTTGTCTTCCTTTTAGGTGCACGTGATGCTCTAATAGTTGGTAAGTTTCATGAAAGGTTTGCTGAGGAATTCTGGCATCTTTAACAGTAAGTACCTACCTATAATGAATGAAATGCAAAAAGAGAGATCAAAATATCTTGAGTTGTAAAGAGATCAAAATATCTTGAGTTGTAAAGAGATCAAAATATCTTGAGTTGTAAGTTCAACTAGAAAGAAAATAATGATAAGTTAGGCCACGAGATAGTGAAACTGGCATTGTCATATGCATACTAAACAACCTTCATCAAAGGCTCTTTACTGTCTTTGAACCATTACAAATGAATAATCATTCATCAGTGTCAAAAATTCTTTATTTGAATGTGCTGGGAGAATGCAACTTCCTTCGGTTGTAACCTGAAGTATACTTTCGGATGGTGATCCTGCTCATTTGCACAAATAGAAAGCCACAAGACCAGTCTTCTGAGCCCATATCTTTGGTCTGCCTAAATAAGAATCATTTTGTAATAGAGTCTGCTTCCAACAGAATACTGTGGCATATTATTCTTACATCCCTTTTTACACATCTGGACACTGAGACACAGAGAGTTTATGTAACTTGCCCAAGACCACAGAATGGGGTAGCCTGGGTCTACCTACCTGTGGAGATTGTGCATTTTAACAGTCAATAAATGGACAAAGGACCTACATATATAATTCAACAAGAGAGAAAATTCCAGTATTGTCACAATGAAATGCCTGTGTGTTAAGCCTTAGGCAAGACACACAGGCAGGGCCATGGAGAGCTGGTGGCCAGCTGCCCCATCACGGTTCTCACTTACTTTTGGAAAAGCTGAAGTTGGACTAAAGGTTACAAAACAGGTCAGATCACACCTTAACTATAATAACCCTGTGGGAGTAAGACTAATGCTACAGAAACCCAGAGTAAAGCAGAATGTATAGTTACATCTAAAAAAAAAAAAAAAAAAAAAAAAAAGCATTGGCAATCTGTAGTGGGACTGGATACTAAGACAGAATTTAAAACCTATGAGTTATATTTTCCATGCATGTAATTACCTTGTTTTACTGCCTAGGCACTTTATCTGGTATGATCTTCGTTATTTTATTCATCATTTTCCTCTCTTGGATAATTCTAAAGTACAGAAAAGGGTAAGTATAGCTATATTATCCCAAGAAATGTAAACTGTACTTACCCCTGCTTGGAAGTCAAAAGAAAGTAAAAGACAAACAAACCCATTGCTACATAAACAGATGTGGTAATTCTTGTAAAGAAGATCCTTGACACACAGTATAGACAAAGAGGTATTCGCACTAAAGGAAGTATATAGGATACTAAGAACAATTTAAAAAAAAAAAAAACCGCTCTTGGGCCAGGTATGGTGGCTCATGCCTGTAATTTCAGCACTTTGGGAGGCCAAGGTGGGCAGATCACTAGAGGCCAGGAGTTCGAGACCAGCTTGGGCAACATGGCAAAACCCCGTCTCTACTAAACACAAAAAAATTACCCGGGAGAGGTAGGACATATCCCTGTAATCCCAGCTACTCAGGAGGTTGAAGCACAAGAATTGCTTGAACCCGGGAGGCAGAGGTTGTAATGAGCCAAGACTGTGCCGCTGCATTCCAGCCTGGGTAACAGAGTGAGACTACATCTCAAAACACACACACACACAAACACACACACACACAGAGACACACACACACAGCATTTTAAGAAGGAATTGAGTTTTACAGAAAGAGAAAGTAGGCAGATGGAGTTTTTAAAAAGTTGTTCATGAGGCTACTGATATCCTAGTTTTGCTAAGACATTGCAGACACCTCCCTCTAAGCCCAGGTCCTATCACAGCACTAGAAGTTAGATTGGGTCACTTATGGCACACATATCATATGGCACACATAGCCTGCCAGTGGGGAATAATTGAGACTTTCCATTGGGTATTTCAATATATAAACAAATATTTTGTAAACACCATTAACTTTTTTTTTTTTTTAAGACAGAGTCTTGCTCTGTCACCCAGGCTGGAGTGCAATAGCATGATCTTGGCTCACTGCAACCTCCGCCGACCGGATTCAAGCGATTCTCATGCCTCAGCCTCCTGAGTAGCTGAGACTACAGGCATATGCCACTACACCAGGCTAATTTTTGTATTTTTAGTAGAGAAAGGGTTTTGCCATCTTGGCCAGGCTGGTCTCGAACTCCTGACCTCAAGTGATCCACCCGCCTCAGCCTCCCAAAGTGCTGGGATTACAGGTGTGAGCTACTGGCCCCAGCCATCATTAATTTTTTAAACTTGAAAGAAAAAAAAAACTTGCAAAGACTAAGATCTGAATAAAGAAACATCTTTGACAGGGAAAAGAACCTACACAGCTTTTGAACTGGTTGATTAAATTATAACAACATCAGTGAAGCCAGAATCAATAATACCAATGTTATATAGTTGATGAGCAAATTGCATACCCATAGAAAAACTGAATTTGTAACTTTTAAGTGAACAGTTTTCTATAGCAAATATTCTAAACAAATGCAGTTCCCTACAACAAGCTTTACAGAAATTGAAGTTTTGATATTTCACAAAGCTGCCAATATACTTTTTAAAAAGTAGTTTGTCATAGTAGATCTTGCTGTCAACAACCTGGTCAGGAACTCAATTTCATGGGAAAATACTGAATGAGTAGAGATTTAAATTTAAATTTTTATCCTTCCTGACTAATGTTCTCTATATTTTACGGCTTGACATATATTCTTTGCTCTTCTCCATTACAAAAAGGAAAGGTAAGTAGCTGGGCGCTTTATCTTAACAAAGTACTTGTGTCAATACACTTTTCTTCTTAAAGTTTCTCATTAAGTACCATATATTAGTGAGTTAATTTTTTTAAAAAAATTACTAAATCTGAATTAAAGAAGTTGGGGCTTCTAATTTCCTGTATCTATACCAGTCTCTAGTTGAAACCACACAGGGTAAATGATTACCTCTTCCTCTTGAAAATATTCAAGATACTTCAATATCTTGAAGATATTTGAATATCTCCACCCTTCTAACTATGTCATTCTTCATTCCTTATGGCCCATTCCTTGTTAATCAACTAAAGGGTCAGATTCCCAAGCCTAACTACTGATTTGTTTCACCCACATATTTTAAGATCATTTCCTCATATTAATCATCTTCAGGCATAAACATGACTCAATAACCATTTCATAAAATTATTTCTTTTGAAATGATTATCTTGTATAGCCTAAGCAACCTCAGAGCATATACCATTTCTTCACGTTTTCCATCTCGTAAAACCTGCCTCCTATTTTTTCCATATTCTTTTAAAGTGTAATGTCCATGGCACAACCATTCTCTCTGACCAGTGGCTGCCAGAAATGTGGCAGAAAGAAAGATCATGATCCCTGCTAGACTTAAAGGTCAGGGAGGTAAACCTCCCAAACATCTATGTAACCCACACTAAAACCTATTATACATGTGTAATCCAGGAAAATTTTTAAACATTTTCTAAACTTTTACTTTTGGCCTGTTTCACTTCTTGGGACTGTAACTGCCTGAAGGGTTCTTCCTGCCTGTCATACAGACAAAACCAGTTCCCTGAGATCATGGTATATTGCAGTAAAGAAAGAGTTGAATTAACACAAGGCCAGTCATGTGGAAGAACTGGAGTTATCACTCAACTCAGTCTCCCCAAGAACACAGAGGCTACGGTTTTTATAGATCATTTGGTAGGAAGGGAGCTAGGGAATGGGTACTGCTGATTGGTTGGGGATGGGGGTGTGGGAAATGGTCCTCATGTGCTGTATCCACCTCTGGTTGGGGGCCACAGGACCAGTTGAGTCATGAGTCACAGGTCCAGGTAGAGTCAGTCAGTTGCCAAATGCAAAAACCTGAAAAACATCTCAGAAGACCAATCTTACATTCTACAATAGTGCTGTTATCTATAGGAGAAATTAGGAAAGTCACAAATCTCTGAGCAGTAATGGATTATAAAAACCATGCCTATATTTTAGCAGAGTTCAGGTTCCTCTCATAATCCTAAACTCTTGGCCTTTCATTAGCTTTCAGGTCCTGAGCAAGGAGGGAGCTAGTCTTAGGAAGAGACTGTTATTATCCTTGCTCCAAAGTTAAATTATAAACTAAATTCCTTTCATGGTTAGCTTGGCCTACACCCAGGAATGAGCAAAGCCAGCCCACCTGTAAGGCTAGAAGCAAGATGAAGTCAGCCGTGTTAGATTTCTTTCACTCTCATAATCTTTGCAAAGGTGGTTTCAGGATAGTGAGTGCATTTCCCTAACAAAACACCATTGATTTTCTTGTTAGAAATAACACATAGCTAAAATTGGGAAGAGAAACTCATAAACTTAAATAATCAGAAGGCAGAGGTCCCTTCTCTTGGAAGGAGTTGGGCTGATTAATCATGCAGTCATACTTCCTTGAGTGGGTGTGGCCAATAGCTAAGTCGTTGTGGCTACGTGAGGAGGGCTGATTATTCCTTATCTGGAGCTCAAGCTTTCCTCACAGAAACACAAGGGCATAAAGGTCCTCATGGCAAAGAAGAAGGAAACCATGTGGGAAACGCATAATATGAGTGGAGAGTATCGTAGTGGTCCTCAGGTCAGAAGAGCTGTTTATCCTGGAGCTAAAAAAGACTGACAGAGATAGAATAGTGTAGAACAAGATGGCCTGCTTTACGGGAGAGCCACTATCACACCATGCCTGGAGAGATTCAGGTTGACGTCTATCTTAAACACTGGAGACAATTCAGAAGCTGCATGAGCAGTCTAAAGACTTAGCAAGAAACTAAAATGAGACTGGGCGCGGTGGCTCAGGCCTGTAATCCCTGCACTTTGGGAGGCTGAGGCGGGTGGATCACCTGAGGTCAGGAGTTTGAGATTAGCCTGGCCAAGATGGCAAAACCCTGTCTGTACTAAAAATACAAAAATTAGCCTGGTGTAGTGGCACATGCCCGTAGTCCCAGCTACTCAGGAGGCTGAGGCAGGAGAATCGCTTGAACCCAGGTGCTGGAGGTTGCAGTGAGCTAAGATCATGCCACTGTACCCCAGCCTGAGCAGCAAAGGCAAAACTCCATCTGAGAAA